TAATTTATTTTAATTTCAGTTTTAATTCCTCAAGATTCTAAATTTTTAAAGCGATGGACCTTGTCTTTGTTTTCTCAACATCTATCTCAAGGAAGGCATTTCAGCAAATGCATAAGTGAACCACAAGTACCACATGTAAGGTATTATACTTAATGATACCTTCATATTCCCCAGTATTTTCTGGCATATTTAGTTCATATAATAAGCTAGCAGGGCACATATCAAGTCTTTAAAAATTTATAGTAAGTGACAGTATATATTTACATGAGATTACATTATTCATTTTCAAAACAAGGTTTCTAAACTTAGAGAAGCATCTAAGTTTTCTAGAATGTTATTGTTTGGGTGATTTGTATTACAAAATCAGCACTATTATTTCTTGTTGATGTGAGACTTTTTTCATGATACTGTATATCAATAGCTTCAAATTACCACAGAATCCACATATTGGTCATTTTTGTTGGTTCAGTTGGAAATTTTCTTGTTTATCTTCTTTGAATCTCTTACTTAGTTTTGTATTTTAAGTAATGCTTCCAAGTCACATCAACTTTCCAGTAGACTAACAACAGGCAAGCTCTTGCCATCTGAGAAAGGGAAGCTAAATGGCATGAGATTTCATTTTACAGCAACATCTGGTAAATACACAGACATTTTTCAACCTCCGTTTCTAGATTAATATGTTTTTATTTAATAAACTTACAATCATTTTCAGACTAAGTGCATTTTTTAGAAGTCAATAATCTTCTGGATGTCTGTATTAGAATTAGTTTTGACTATGAATGACACTCAGAATAACAATAACTGACTTAAATAAGTTAGACATTTATTTCTCTCTTATGAAAACATAGGCAGTCATCAGAAACCAAAACTTTTTAATTTTTCTGCTGTACCCTCCTTAATATACAGGTTTCAATCTCTAGCTTAAGGTGGCTGCTTCAGCTCCAGCCTTTACATCCTCATTCCAGCCAGGAGGAAAGAAGAAAAGGGAAAAGAGCACTCTGTTGATACTCAAGGGGACTTCCCAGAAGTTACATATATTCTCCCATTCATCAGAACTTGGTGACATGGAACCTAATCCTCTTTTTCTAGACCACTCTAATAATATGGTGATTAGGTGATTAGGCACACCTAATCACAGGAGGGTTGAAAATGTAATCTTTGTCCTGGGTGGCTCAGTTAAAAATCGGGGGTCCTATTTCTGAGAAGGAATGGTAAAAACATATTAAAGGACTACTAAAAGTGCATGCTATTTTTTTTTCTTACTGTAATTTAACTGTAGGGGACAGGACTGAAAAAATAGTAAAATAGTCCTATTGATGTCAAAAGTATGCACTGAGATAGTTTTGACCCTTTATTAATGTTTTAACTAGTGTGAGACTATTTTTAGAAGCTATGTTGACTTTATTAATTGACTCTAAAATTAAAAAATATTATTAATGTTATTTCATGTAACTTTTTCATAAAGGAGCAATAAAAATATAAAGTGTATACAGTGACATACGACACCAAAGGCACAGACAACAAAATTAAAAAATAGACCAATTGGACTTAATTGAAATTAATAACTTTTGAGTATGAAAGGACTATCAACAGAGTGAGAAGGCATTGAATCGAATGGGAGAAAAATATTTGGAAATCATATAAATGAGAAGGGATTAATATTCAGAATATATAAAGAACTCATAGAACTCAGCAACAAAAAAGCAACAAACTGATTAAAAAATGGACAAAGGATGGACCTGAGTAGACGTTTCTCTTAAAAAAATATATACAAATGGCCAATAAATACATGACAAGATGCTCAGCGTCACGAATCATTAAGGAAATGCAAATTAAAATTATTTCATATCCATTAGGATGGCTACATATATACATATTATATATATCCAGAAAGTAACAAGGGTTGGTGAGGGTGTGGAAAAATTGGAAACTGTGTGTATTGCTGGTGTGAATGTAAAATGGAACAGCCACTGTGGAAAACAAGATGGCATTCCTTCCAAAAATTAAAAATAGAATTACCATATGATCTAGAAATTCCACCTCTGGGTATACCTAAAAGAATTGAAAGCAGAGGCTTGAAGGGAGATTTGTACACCTGTGTTCATAGTGGCATTATTTTCAATAGCCAAAAAGTAGAAGCAACCCAAGTGACCCAAGTTTATCCATCCAGCAACAGATGAGTGGATTAACAAAATGTAATATTCACATACAGTGGAATATTATTCAGCCTTAAAAAGAAAGGAAATTCTGATATATATTGTAGCATAGATGAATCTTGAAGACATTATGCTAAGTGAAATAAGCCAGTAAAAAAGGACAAATACTGTTGGATTCCACTTATATGAAGTACCTTGAGTAGCCAAATTCAAGGAGATAGAAAGCAGAATGGTAATTGCAAGGGGTTGCAGAGAGGAGAAATGTCTAGTTATTGTTTATGGAGTTTTAGTTTGGGAACATGAAAAGGTCTTAGAGATAGATGGTGGTGATGGTTGCATAACAATGCAAATATACTTAATGTGACTGAACTGTATACTCAAAATAGTTAAAATGGTAAGCTTTATGTTCTATGTATTTTACCACACCAAAAAACAGCTAAATTTTTTAAGATGTGTGTATTTTTCCACACAGGCATTTATATAGTCAGGCTTGAAACCAATTCCAGGGTTCTCCAAGAATCTTGACCTAATTTTGAAATTCTGTTAAAATATTTCAAAATATACACAGAAGTAGAGAGAATAGCATGAGGAACTCTCTAGACTTGCCTTCAACCAACTTTAACACCTCAATTTATAATAAAACATTTTTGTGAATGGTTAGACCATTACCCCAACTGTTGAGTACCATTTGTAATTGGTACTCAAATCCTTACGCCAATGATTTGAAAAGCCAACCATAAACTTTTCATATTTGTGAACTTTTTATCCAGATATGGTTACTCAAGCAAAACCTTAGAAACCCTGTTATATCACAGTCCCTAAGAAAGGAGCAGCATTGTGTAGACTGGAGTTTGGAAGCTTTTCTGTAAAGATTCAGGTAGTAAACATTTTAGGTTTTGTGGGACACATTAGGTTTGTTGTACATTCTTGGGTTTTTAATTTTCTTTTAAAATATCCCTATAAAATTGTACAAAAAACCTTCTTATCTTGTGGGGCTATACAAAAAAGGGCTGCTTCTAGATTTGGCTCAAGGGCTATAGTTTGCTGATCCCTGGTAGAACTTTGAGGCCCTTCTGATGCCAACCTGTAGCAGAATGGCAGATGTGGGCATCCAATCTTGATCAGCCAGCCTTTAGGGTGGCCAACAGCCTCTGTCTGGGCCTAATTTAAATAGGATGGTTTCTAGTCTGATTATATCAATGCATATATATAGAAATACCCACCTAAAAACTTTATTGTAGTAAACTTTTACTGTGCTACTTCACGTAAGTGGAATCCAATAGATCTATTTGTCAGGTCTACACGTATTTCCTGGAACTCTGAGAAGGAAGGGTTTAGAAGTGAGCAACCCTAAGAAAAAGAGAGATACTTAGTGAGAGATACTTAGGATAGTCTCAGATCCAATCCCAGTATATACATATAAGAAACACCCTTTTCTTGAGGAAATTTAAGTGATATGTTCCTTGTAAACAGAAGAATCTCAATTACTCGCCTACTACAAATATAAATTGGTACAAACAGTTTGGAAGACAGTCTGGTAATATCTAGTAAAATTGGATATGGGCCTATCAATGATCCAGAAATCCTACCAGTAGCTATTTTACCTAGAGAGATTTTTGTACATTTGTACCAGAAGATATACGTATAAGAATGTTCTTGGCATGTAGCATGTGTCCAAGTGGACTGTGTTAATCTGCTCAGATCCTAGCTCTGCTGCTTACACAGGTTTATGACTTCAAACACATTACTTATTTCTCTGTGCTCCATTTACCTCATGAAATTCTTATATGGATTAAAGGAATTAATTTATGTAAAATGCTGAGCACATAACAAATGCTATATAAGCTTTAGCCCTTGTTACAACTCATATTATAGCAACATTGTTCATAATAGCGAAAAAATTGAAAACAACCCAAACCTCCATCAACACAAGATGGATAAATAAACTGTGCTATGTTCATATTATAAAATACTGCAACGTCAGAGTAAAAAGAATGAACTAGAGCTATATCTATCACCAGGTAGAAATCTTAGAAACAATGTTGATTAAAAGGCAGGCACAGAATAACACATGTAATATGGCTTCCATGTTACAAAATAAGCAAAATTAAACCTATTCTATAGAGATATACACACAGATAGCAAAAGTACTAAGAAAAGCAAAGGAATGGGAAAGAAAACTTAGGATAGTGGACAGGGAGATGGGATTGGAAAACATCTCCAGCTGCATGTGTGAAGTTATTAAAGTTTAGAAATTGAGTGGTAGTTTCCTGGGTATTCTTATGTTGTAAATGTAGAACAACAAATCTTAGTGAACCAAATTTAAAGGTAAAGGTGAATGTAAATGTAAGGTAAAATTCACATGGATGTGAACTGAACTTGTTGAAATTCAGAATATAAAAATTGACATGAAAAGGAAATAGTTAATGTGTTCTATAGAAACTTCATTAAGGAACTATATTGGTTGAATGTAGTTTGCCCTAGAAAATACGTTTTTTTTGTTGAAATTCAAAGTCAGTGTGACTTGGGGGATTCAAAATAGCTGGATTAAATGATCCTATACATGATTAATAATATCTTAACAATACAACAAGCATTGAATTTATATAACAAGATCTACCTATTTACAGGAAAAACAACAGCTATGGATAAGATCCGGTGTCGTGAAACCTAAATAGTCAAACTATTAAAAGGTAAAATACCAAGAGAGTAATTCTTCTCCAGAGATAAGAGAAATAGGGAAAATACCAGGAACTACTGCTATGTTACAAAAAAAGAAGAGCGAATTCAATATTGAAGCGATCTTTTGGGTAGTAAGTTTGATTTACTTTCCCCAAGATTTAATTAATCTGGTACATTGTTTTTGGAGTGGACATATCTTTGGACAGCTTCACTTCCAAAAGTCACTGCGTACTTAGCTCGTTTTCCAGGAAACAGCATATACATCGCCTTCTGGATATCTTCATGGGTGAGAGTACAGCGATTTCTGAAACACATCAGGTTATAGGCTTGCGTAGAAATGCGTTCAAAGATGTTGTTGATCATGGTGTTCATCATGTCCACGGTGTGAGATGATATACTCTTCTGGGGATCCACTTCTTTTAGGACCCTGCGAATGTAGAGTGAATAATTTCGGCTAAAGTCAGTGCAGGAATGTGACCTCTTTCTGGAGCTTGGTTTTTGATGTCTTCTGGAGCACTTATTCTTTTTGGTGTTGGATTTGGCCATTGTAGATGTTGTTCTCCTTAACAGTTGTGAGTGGAGAGGAGAAGGGTCTGTGAATGGGGGGAGCGCTCATATTTATGCTGGAGTGTCACAATCAGACTTCTGGGGCTTCTCTCTGATTGGAGGTTACTGTTCCTATGTCACAAACATGTAGCAATGGCACTGACTTGTTGTTAATGGAAAAATCCTGTTCTTGGTCCACCTAAAGCTTTCTAAGGAGAGGAGTGTTGCGGAAGAATTGAGATTGATTTCATGGTAGAAAAGAGTACTCATGTTTCCTACTTTGTTTCTCACTGATCTGAAATCATAATATACAATATTTTTGGAATAGAACAAGTCTCATCAAACTGGGAGGTTGGTGGTGGGAAAGTAAAGGAAAAAGTGCCATATGCCCAGGGGAAAAAAGTGTTCATAAATTCATTTTAGAAGCAAATGAAGTATTAAATAAAGCCATTAAACATCTTAAAATGATTCTTTTATAATAAAATAAATAGGTATAGCTAAACAGCTTTTTAAAATTGTGACTGTTTCTTTAAAAATGAATTCTAAATTTTTTCTGGATCCCAAGTCCTTAGGAGCAACTATATGCAATTGCAGAATAAAACAAAAACTCTCCGATTTTATTATTTAAACTATGACAGGCTATGGACTGTGTTTATTAATTTTTTATAACAATATTAATATTATTCTTAAAAAACACAAATTTTGTTACATGTTCTGTTTTCCACTTGATACTCTAGGTCTTCTGTCATGATTAACTAAAAGCGTGTGTAGAGTCATTCTTGCTCATGTGTCATATTGAGACATTCATGCTTTAAAAAAATCCCCATCTGCTTTCTTAATCAAATTAATCTATGTGTAAGATAAAAAGGAACTAATAAAAGCAACTATAAAAATTACAACTCACAAACATTTCAACAATTCATAATTGCCACAACTATTAATGTTACCACAAAAGGTCCTTCACTATGAGCTACTTCACAGATAAGGTAGACTGGACTATGCATAATTTCTCAAATCCTATATGTAATTCCTCCCCTTTATCTTTCAATCAAGAAAGTAAATCTGATATAAGGCGGTAAGAGTAGTGTCGTTGTATTGAAAACTCTGAACAAACTCTAATTTCTAAAGACAATGTGCATGAATTGTAAATGCACTTTATTGCTTAGTAACACATCTCAGATTGTGCGTCATCACACTGAGATGAAGGCTGCTGCTTCCATGTATGCTTTGAAGAAATGGATCTTTAGTTAGCTCTTGCTAGTTTTGCTTTCAGATTTCTCTAGATATAATTACTTAGCTTAATAATAGCATAGCTTTATTTGCTATCATTTAGAAGAGGCTATCAGGTGGAGAATGTTTATTCTCTATTCCATGTTGAAGAACTTAGTTGAAGAACTAAGTGTTACACTCTTGGCCTCTCCCTCACTCCTCCCAGAAACAGCCCTCCCTGGTATAGGTGAGGTAGGGAGATGACAGGAATGCTTGTCTCAACCCCTTGTGGTTCTAGTTGGGATCTGACTGTAGGCAACTCTGCTCCTGGGCTGGATCGCTTTCACCAGCTGAGTGGGGAGTAGGTCTTTCTGCTTAATACAGAGTTGCTGCATTAGGAAGCTTGTCATTGTTCTGTACATGAGGGCTATTCTCCAGTTGGCAGTAATAAAGCTGACATTTTGATACCCATCTTTCTGATCGCTATATTTGTCTCAGTTGGTTCTGTGCTTGGGTGGGAAGAATGAAGGGCGTAATATTTTGCAGTAGTTAAAATTAAAAAGATTTTAAAGACAAAATGATAAGCTGTATGCTAAAATACTGATTGATCAGAAAGTTTAGAAAATGGAGAATACAGATTCTGTAAAATTTCTGGCTACTTTAAGGTTAACCTGAATTCCCTTTTAAAATTTAATAAGTTATTCTAAAATATGTATGAGTTCACCACTGATACGCTGGGTTTTCTTTTCCTTCTCCCTTTCTCCTCCTCCAGACAGTCTGGAACAAAAGACAGACACTTTTAAGCATAATGATCGTCAGGACATGCCTGTTAGATTATCAATCTGAGTATGCAGCAGATCTAATTATTTTGCATTTTCCATATCCTGAGAACAGACATTGTGAATCCCTCTCCCCTCTCTCTGTCAAAATCTCTGTCTTAACAGACATTGTGAATCTCTCCCCTTTTCCTCTGCCCTTGCCCCTCAATGCCATAGCCTTAAAATTAAGCCTGGCATGAGACACAGAGAGTGAAAGGAATGATGATGAGTAGGACTGTAAGTCCAGGGTCTCGAAGCTGTTCAAGTGTGGCTGGAGCCCAAGGTTAAGAACCATGCATTATTCAGGCTTTTGTGCTGTGCTTGATCATACTATGTCTATTTGGGGCATAAGTTGTATGCCTTTCATAACTAAATGTGTATAGTACTGGGGTTACAACTGCTATTCTTTCCTTTGTAATTGATTGTCTTGTTATGGCTCTAGGTCATCATCAAGTCTCTCGGTGACTATTCTACAATAACTGTAGCAGAGGTGACATTAACTCAAAGCTGAAAACATGTATTGACACATATGGGTGGGTAGTCTGGAAACATTTCAAAGCCACTGTATTAGTTTCCTATTGCTGCTATAACAAATCACCACAAATTTAATGGTGTAAAACAACACAAATGTATCTTACAGTTCTGGTGTTCTTCTAAGTCTGACTGGGTTTCACTTGAGCTAAAACTAAGATGTCAGTAGAAGTGTATTCCTCCTGGAGACTCTAGGGGAGAATCTCGCCTTTTCCAGCTTCTAGGGACTCGCTGTATTCCTTGGCCTTTCCTCTGTCTTCAGTAATGGATAGCCAAGTCTTTCTCATGCTGTATCACTCTGACACCAAGTCTCCAGCCTGCCTGTTTCTCATCTAAGGCCCCTGTGATTACACTGAGTCTACCTGGATGATCCAGGATAATCTCCTCATCTCAAGACCCTTAACTTAATCACATCTGCAAATTCTATTTTGCCAGGTAAGGTAACATATTCACAGGTGTGGGAGTTCGGGATATGGACACTTTTGGAGGACATTTCACCACAGTCATTGTGAAGAGAATGAGATTGTCAGGGAAGATCTGGGTCACCAATGGTGTAGGAGTTGGAGATGAATAATACTACCCTTAGTAGATGACCGGAAGTATATTTTAAAAATACTTTCCAGCCCTGGCTGGTGTGGCTCAGTGGATTGAGCACTGACCTGCAAACTAAAAATACTTTCTATATATGGGCTAACTTTCTTATAATTTGCTTTTTTTCCCCCTAAAAATGGAGAGTTGTGTTAGATTTTGACAGAGAAAGTGATGTTTTAGTTGAATTTTGATGGATATAGAAGCATTTAGGCAGGTAAGGGTGGTGCTGGGGGTAGAGAGGAGGTGGGGAGGTCAAAGAGAGCGCCCATGAAAGAGATATATTCTTATGCAAATATATATTTTTTGCATAAGAATGGAAGATCTTGGTCTGGAAGAGTTTGAATTTAACTGCCCTTTCTTGGCTGGTGGTAGTTAGGTGTAGGAGACTGGTCTCCAGAAAGAGACAAAGGAAAAATGTTTTCCAGGGGAGAATCCAGGTTTCAGTTAAGACCATGATCCTCAAGCTTGGACCCACATTGAAGTCACCTAAAGAGATTAAAATAAACAAACAAGCCAACATGCAAGGGCTAAACCGTAGACTAATTGAATCAGGCTCTGCAGGGTGAGACTAAGGCTTTTTTTTTTTCCTTTTAAGTTCTTTTAATTGTGCAGCCAGGGTTGAGAGTCACTGTTTGAGCTAAGCGAGAGCAAAATGTTTGAAGGTATTGGGGAGTTTTCTGTAAACTCTCTGGGGAAAAAAGCATGCACACTGGAATGGGAGCTGTAAGGGAAAGAGTTAGAAGAGAAGAGAGAAGTAAGGAGTTAGATGAGAAGGAGGGCAGAGTGGTAAGAGGTGAGCAGATGAGACAAATGACAGGAATAGTGGCTCCGGAGGGTGACCTATGTTCTCTGGTCAAGAGATTTCAGGTACAGAGACATAAAGAGATGCATACTTTGACATAAACTTGTTTCTGCGCATTTAAATAGAGACTAACTGCCAAAACATTCTTTCAGTGCTTAGCAAGGAGCAGAGCTGGGAGAACTGAGGAGGCACAGTGAAGGAGGGTGAGTGAAGGAGCCATGCTGGGACCCACTTTACTGTGGAGTCTTACCTGTCTTGTATTTCCACATTGAGGGGGAGTAAAACAAACAAAAAAACAAAATTTTCCCTACTCCCCTTTCCTGATTTGTTGATTCTCTGGCCTAAGTCATTTCCTTCTGACATTATTCTACTTTCTTTTGCTGGATCCCTGAGGCCGGCAATCCTAACCTCAGCAGGGCAGAGGTCTCTCCCTCCCAGAGCCTAGCCGCCTGTGTCTTGCTTTGGTTAATCTGAGAACTGGGTCATTGTCCTCAGAGACCCCAGGAAGTAATTAGATTACCTTTGTGCAGAATAAGAACATAATAAAGGATTAGCCTTGAAAGAAAGCAGAAGGTTGTCAATTCCTGAGGAAGTTTCTGATCAGCATGATGTTCTTCAACAGAAAACAGAAAATGTACTGGGACAAGAGAGAGAAGGAAATTTTACATTTTGTTTTGAGTTCTGATTCACATATTATAATAAAACATCAATTTACTAAAAAGTATTTTATAATAGATTATTACTGTAAAACGGATTTTCCTCTAATTATAGTAAGAGTGCTCTTACTAAGCACATAGAATAGAAGTTGCTCAAGGTCACCTGGTTGGGAAGTTGTTGAGCCAGGAGGTAAGTGGAGGCCTGTTGGACATTCAAGCTCAAGCTTTTAACCACTAGACACACTGCCTCTCGTTAGTTGTCCAAGAAGAGAGACTGCTCCAAGCAGGAGGAAAGGAATGAGTAACAACACAGAGGTGTGAAATCAGAAGCTATATTCCAAAAGGAGCAAAAACTGTTTTGCTAGGGTACAGGGCTTATGTCTGAGAGCAGAA